CTCTGCGTATCCTTGACGACCGTGTAAACAATAGCATCATGCTCAGTGTTGTACCTGCATGAATGGTCATGTGACATGCGTTTTCGGTTGTGTAGTGTGGACGGAGAACGTTTCTGAAACGCAGTGAAAACACAAGTGTAGATGAGGATCGTTTTCATTTTAAAACGCCGTTTTGAAACGAAATCGCTCTAGTGTAAACGTAGCCTGAGTTTGTTGTGATTGGAGCAACTTTACAGGCTGATATAGCGTGTGATCCTCAGTCGTTTAGTGTATGATGGCCAGTTTTTCCTCTGTGACTATTACAAAGTTGGTAAATGAGTTGTGTAGTGTATTGCAGCCTTTAGTGCATCCTTGCTGAATAAAAGTATTAATTTCTTTTCTTTTTAAATCTTACTGACCCCAAACTTTTGAGCAGTATAGTGTATTTTCTGATAGTAATGTATTAAATTTTTATTTTCACAAATATAAAACATACTTTTCAATAAAAAAAATGCAAACTTGGAGAAACATAATTTGAACATTACATTTTCAAACATTATAATCAGTAGCTTTAAATTTTAAATATACGTTTTCATTCAAAATAATACTCAAATAGGTGTGTGGTCAGCCAGTTTACTACGGTAGGAAACTTGTTTATTGTTTCTGTGGCAACATGTATTTCGAAAGTTGGTTTTCTTTAAATAAAAACGTCAAATCTTAAAAAGCGGAAAATAAGGTTTCCAAGTGGTTTGTGTTAGGGATTGGGCATCAAAGTGCATAAAAGCGTTGGTGCAGGTAAATGTTCGGGTCACGAGGGGTGGAGGCCTCTCTAGTAGCTCAGCTTCCAAAGGGCTGGCATGCTTGTAATGCGCTGGCTGAGCATCTTTGGGAATGAGTATGTTTCTGGCCTAAATCTCTTGGCTTTATTGCCTTGGATTGGCTAGGTTGGAAAATGACATCGGCGTCAAGGTTCTTGTTAAAAGAATTTGGACTCTATGCACACACTGTGATTGTATGTCACAGTCACTCCAGGTCAATGAGACAAGTGGGAATCGAAACTTGTGAGCAGGTAATGGGGATGTTTGAAAAGCTTATCGCTCCACTGAGGCCTGAGCAAAGATGTTGGCTTGATCCAGTTGGCCTTTGAAGAAATATGTGGCCCCCTCTGAGTGTGTACATGTTTCTGTATGCAATCGTTGCTTCATAATTGGCAGACGCTGACAGTGTGTAACCAGAAGGGAATGATAGTTGAATAAAGCTTATATTCAATGCAGAAGTTGTTTTTGCACCCCAAAATCTCCACTTTAAGACTTAAACACACCTTCACAGACAGACTTTCTCCCCTGATAATATGGCTAGCTCTCTGTATGAGATATCAGTCAGGAATTTTTGTTCTGTGGAGACTTTTCTCAATATACATCCTGAAAACGGCTAAAACGGCTGCTCAGCAACCCGCATGCACTCGCGTGCCAACACAAATATACTTTCTGAAGGATGATGCTTGGAAAGTCGAGAACAAAATGTTCTAAAAGGATTGGAACCTAATGTCACCTAACAGCTAAACTATGTGTTTCAAGGCCATAGTGGGCTCTGTGTGTTTTTGTAGTAAGCTACTTTCTGTAGTATACTGATCATCTGTAGATCTGCCATCATGTAATCGTTAGCTGATTATGTATACTATTGTCATCATGCAAGTGATGGTTTGGTCATCATTTAAAGGGATAGTTCACCCAAAAATTAGTTTCTTTCTTCTCTTGAACACAAAATAAGATATTTTGAAAAATGTGTGTAACCAAACAGCTGACGGTAGCCATTGACTTCCATAGTATGGGAAAAAAAATACTATGGAAGTCAGTGAAAGAATATAGTTACAAAAGTTACTGTATAGTTACAAAACTACCAGTGTTTTTATAATTTTGTGGTTAGCTGGTCATCAGTAGATTTGTCATTATTCCATCATTCAGTAATTAGCCGTTCTTCAGCAGATTTATCATAATTTAATAGTTGATTATCAGTAGATTTGTGTTCTTTTAGTAATTATCTAATCAGAAATTTTGTCGTCATTCAGTAATTAGCTAATCAGTTGTTTTATTAACTATTAAATTATGACTGAACTATTGTCATAATGTTGAATGGTGACAATAGGTAGCTAATCATCAGTAGTTTTGTAATCTTTTAGTCGTTAGGTGATCATTAGTAGTTTCAGTCATCGTTCAAAATAGTAAAAGCTAGGACAGGAAGGGATAAAGGATAATAAGAGTTTTTAATGAGGAGGCAGTTAAATGTTCATGTAAGAGATGAGTTTTCAGTTGTTTCTTGAAGATTGTGAGGGATTCATCTGTCCAAATGGAGGTAGGTCATTCCAACAACAGGGTACGGTGAAAGAAAACGTTCTTGAGAGTGATTTTGTGCCTCTCTGCGATGGGACCACGAGGCTTCTGGAGGGGATGTAGACGCATAGGAGAGATCATGCTCTAGTCGGCTGATCATCAGTACAGTAGTTTACTCATTATTCACTAGTTTGTTGACCATTGATAGTTTTTTGACATCATTTAGTAGATAGTTGATAATATGTGCTTTCACTATCATTCAGTAGGGTATCTGATCATCAAAACTTTCTCATTTTTCAGTGGTTAACTGATCATATGTAGTTCGCTAATCAGTTTTGTCATTGGTTGGTAGTTACTGATCTATTTTGCAGCAGATTAATCAAAGTTATTGACAGTTGTCTGGTTCAGTTGTCTTGTATATTTCATTGTTATTGTGTAAAATGAAATGTTAATGTGGTTTATATGACTATAAACACTGGTAAAGCACTCTTTCTGTAAATATACATTCTTTTTTTTTTGTCTCTGGCTAGACCTTTATGCTTCCCACTTCAAAGACTCACACAAATATTTTGAGCCAATGAATTGGCCTGTCATGCACAGATATGGAGTGTATTCATATTACATTTACTCTTATGTACTCAATGCAGGAAACAATAGAAGCAAACTCGGGTATAAAAGCACACTTATGCAAACACATACAGACAGACCCTACAGATCACCCACTGACAGATGTTAAAAATTAGGCACATAAGGGTATCTTTTACCGGGGGATATTTGCATATAAGGTCTGTGGTGTGTGTTGTTGTTTTTTTGATTCAGTCCTCCCCTCTACTTCAGTTTGTTCTTTTTCTTTCTTTTTTTGTCATGTTTTCCTTGACTTAGATGAAATAAGAGGAGCGCGGAGCTGAAATATTCTCTAATTGAGTGTGTGGGGAAAAGTTCTGCATGACTAGAGGCTCAAAATCAGGCTTAAAAAATCGATTTCCTCTTTGTGTTTAATGCAGGTGTTTGTGTGCAATACAGCAGCTGGTGTGAATGTGTGCTCATGCATGAGATGGAGTTTTCGCGCTTTGTATTTGTGTTCGAGTATAAATGTCTGCAGTACCATGCTGCCTTTTCTCTTCATTAGTCATTAAATCCTTTCCACTGGTTTGAGGCATTCCAGCTTTATCCAGAGATGCTGTAATCCAGTCTCACAACAACAAACAGGGGAACACACAGTAGGGGAGATGGTGAAACAATGACCTCACTGTGTGTGCGTCCCAGCATCGGACATGTGGGAAGGAATGGAGAGGGAGGAATCGCGGAAAAGAAGAGTCTGGAAAATCAACAGGAGAAATGGAAATGGGGGGCTGAGGTTGGCAGGGGTTGGAGGAGATGAAGCAGGGTAGAGATGAAGAGTGATGTTTCAACAATCCATGTCTGCAGTTGCATAATGTCTGGAGCTTAAAATACAATGTTTCTTCTTGTCTCATGGCTTCTCATCTCCTCTCGTTTTCTTTTCTTCACTTCTTGTTTCATTCTGGTCATGTCTTATTTAGTCTTTTGTCTCCTCTCAGTCTTGTCTCGTGCTCTCCTCTTGTCTGTTGTCTTCCAGTTTTGTCTCATCTTTTCTCATCTCAGTTTTTCTCACCCTCTTGTCTTTTCTTCTTATCTCCTCTTAGTCCATTCTCCTCTTGTCTCTTTCATTCTTGTCTTGTTCTCTTTTTGTCTACTCTCTTCTCGTCTTGTCTCAACCTTCATTACCTCTTCTCTTCAGTATCGTACTTGTCTCTTCTCATGTCAGTTCTTCTCAAGCTTCTTCTTGTCTTCTCTTTTGTTCTCTTCTTGTCTATTTTATTCTTGTCTTGCTGCTTTTCTTCCAGTTTCCCGTCTCATGTCCTCTCGTTCTCTTCTCTTTGCTTCTGCACATGTTCTCCTTGTCTCATGTTGTCTCTTGTCATCTCAGACTCTCTCCTTCTCTTCTAATCTTTTTGCTTTGTTGTTTCATCAGTTGCTTCTTGACTCACCTTGTCTTTTCTCATCTCGCAGTTCATGGCTTTGTCTCGCCTTTTCTCTTCTATTCTCATCTCCACTCATTTGCTTTGCATTCCGTCTCTTGTTCTCTTCTTGTCTCACCTAGTCTTATCAACTTGTCCCTTCTCATTTTGTCTTTTCTCTTACAGCATCATCTCCTCTAATTGTGTTTCTTCCTCGTCTTGTCTTTTCTCTTCTCTCACTGTCTTTGTGTCCTTTTTCCATGCTTGTCATCTTGTCTCATTCTCTTCTCTTCAGTTCTCATCTCTCATTCTCTTCTTGTCTTGTCTCTTCCCATCTCAATTCCTCTCACTCTCTTTTCTTCTTGTGTTCTTTTATTTATTCTTATTCTTATCTTGTCTCTTCTATTCTGGGTTGTCACTTTTGTTCCAGTTTCCAGTCTCATCCCCTCTTGTTCTCTTGTCTTTGCTTCTTGTCTCATCTCTGCACATTCTCCTCATGCTGTCTCTTTTCATGTCAGTTCCTCTCATTATCCACTCATCTCTACTTGTCTCCTCTGTCTTTTTTGTTTTATCCCACCTCTTCTCGTCTCATCTCGCCCTTTATGGTATTGTCTCTTCTCTTCCACTCTCATCAAATTCTCAGTTTTTCCTTCTATCCACTCATTTTCTTCTTGTCTCACTTAGTCTCTTCATCTTGTCCCTCCTTATTTTGTCTCTTGTAATTGCATTTGCATTTGCATCCTTGTCTCTTATTCTTTAATTGTCTTTTTCCTTTTCCCATTCTTGTCACCTGCTCTCATTCTCTTTTCTTCAGTTCTCATCTCTTGTTGTCTTCTTGTCTTGTCTCATCTTGTTTCCTCTCTCTGTCTTATCTTTTTTTTGTACCCTCTTATTTTATTTGATTCTTATCTCTTCAATTCTCATCTAGTCTTTTTTTTTCCAGTCTCGTCTCCTTTCATTATCCTATCATTGCTTCTTGCCTTTTCTGCACATTCTTATTTTGTCTCATGTTGTCTGTTTTCATGTCAGTTTCTCACATTCTCGTCTCATCTCACCTTGTCTCTTCTCGTCTCACTTCGTCTCGCCTTTCTTGGTCTTGTTTCTTATTTTCCAGTCTCATCTCTTTTCATCTTCTCTCTTCTCTTCCAGTCTCATCTCTCTCTACTTCTCGTGTTGTGTCTTGTATCTTGTCTTTTCTCTTTCTGTTTACTACACAAAGTCAAAACTAGTTATGATCAGGCGTGTGTCTGTTAAATGCGTATGACCTGCACTTGTGACTAATGGGTTTACATGTACATTTCTCCAGCCCAAACATGTTTAAGTTTAACTGTAGTGTAGTCTGCTGAATAACAATATATTGACTATGGTAGTATCGATCAGCTATCAATGTCTGTCTTATGGTTTTGTCTAATGTTAGGTGAGTTTCTGGGTGGTGAGGGAGATTCTTCATGCTCAGACTCTGAAGATCAGAGCAGAAGTGTTGAGCCTCTATATCAGAACAGCAAAGGTAAAAACACTCCATACAGCACATTTGTACTACCTAAGTGATTATACTAGTTGCTAACCTTCTTTCTGTCTTCCTGCAGAAACTGTGTGACATGAACAATCTCCATGCAGTGATGGCAGTAGTATCTGCTTTACAGAGCGCCCCCATCTTCAGGCTCACCAAGACCTGGGCTGTGAGTTATTTAATACACTCCTTATTAACATTTTGCATATTAGTTTTTCAATTACTTTCTAAAACATACTTGGTAATTGTTAGTGATTTTTTTTTTTTTTTGCACATTTTAAGCACATTTTTCATTGTTTTTCTTATAAAATGGCTTTGTCTTACACCAGCAGAGTCTAGTGTCAAGACATTTTATTTTATTTCATTTTTAATATTTTCTTTTCTTTCTTTCTTTTTTCTTTTAATTTTTTCAAAGCATCTTGTGGGTTTTTGGGTCAGTTGAGTGCTTGGTTCATTCATTATCATGTTGTTCAACCCAGCTGCTGCATGTGTCCAAACTTCTTTAGACATGGTTTTCATGTGTGTTTATAGGTTGTGAAAGTATCCAGGCCTCCGACACACTCTCAGTTAGTTACTGATGCGGGCTGGAAGCTGCAAACAAATGAATCACTATGAAACCTTGAGCTGTTTCTTTCCAATATTTTGATTGATGAACAACAAGGAACTCTGTTTAGTTTTTTCCCCCTTTCAGTCTATACTGGAATTAAATCATGCATTTCAGTTCCCAAACATGATACCCTCCATTTGAACACACTCAATAGTGGTAGAGATTTTTGTACCCCTATAATTTATTAAACTAGCATAAAATGATGGTGCTTGAGTGAATATTTACTTTCTTTCTAATGAAGGAAAACTTGTTGTTTACGACATCCTTATAAACTAACCACCTCAGTTTCTTGAAAGATCAATAGACTGCACTAAACCTAAAGCTAATACCAGGGTTTCCCAAACGCTTGTGTGTTTCTACTCTAAAATAGGGCAGCTATCATAAAACAGACACCTGTTCCCCAGGTTTTTATAACTTCAAAACGTGTTTGCTCACAAATCATTCTGTAGGCAAGTGTGCTGCAGTTGGATTGGTGACATTCATTAGCATTAGCAACTTCAGGTTTCCTTTGTAAAATCCCGTAAGACTTTTAAATGTAAACGCTTGAAAATGTTACATTTTGTTGTGTAGAAATCTGCAGGCTAGCATATTTTCATAACTGGGAGAAAATTGTACATTTGGTGAATATTGTGTTGTCTATTACGAAAGTCTCAAAGATACTGCCTTTTATTCTTGCTACTGTAAAATCAACTTAAATGAGAAGTGTCACTTTTTCAGTGTTTAAAAAGTACTCTTTCTATTTTAGTTTTAGTTTTGCTCTCTTGGGCCAGTACAAAACCACCAAAGAACCACCTGGAACACTCAAGCGACTTCATAGAATGCACTAAAACCGCTCAGAACACCTTAAACCTGGCAACCACCCAGAACACCCTAGCAACACATATGCAATTCTGAACGTTTTAGGAGCCACAAGACAATGCTTTGGCAGCCACCAACAACATCCTCACACTTTGGTGATGACTTTTGCATGTGCAAACAGTATGTATTTGTATTTTGAGAGGAACTATGGTTACTGTGGTACACTTTTCTAAGGATCATGCTATCCAGCAGCTTGGTGTATCTGTGTTTTCTTTGGAAACATTGTCTTGTCTTGTCTTCAGTCACAGCCAACATCCTCCTCCTCAATTGTGTCTCTAGTGTACCATTTTCAGTCTTTTACATAACTGGAATATTCCTCTCCCCCGCTTTTTCTGTCAGATCTGTGTTTTCCATGGCTTCTCAGACTAGCTTTCCTCAGACACGGCCAAACACAATCCTATATAGTGGGCTCTGAACGTTTTTTTATTTGGCATTTTTGTAATTCAATAAAACATTTTACATGATAAATGGTATTATTCAGCATGATTTTCTTCAGTGGAAAGAAATTTGATCTTTTGTTCAAAAATCAATTTACATGATCAGTAGCCCAGAGATAATCCAAAAAATTTTGGGGTGAAAAAAGGTTTAATATAGGTAACACTTTATTTTGATAGTCCAACTCTAGGCCTAACCTAATAGTCTACTAATACTCTAATGAGAATTAGTTAACATGTAGTTGCACAGTTACTTATAGTTAGTAGAATGTCATAGTTAGTACAAACCAAAGTGTAACCAAAATGTTGACTAATATAGCTGATTTTATGTTGCTAGTTCTCATAATCTTTTTTCATTTAAAGGGATAGTTTACTCAAAAATGAAAATTCTGTATGACTTTCTTATTTCTGTTGAACATAAAAGAAGATATTTTGATGAATGTGGATAACTCAACAATTGACAGTAGCCATTGACGTCCATAGTATTTTCTTCCGTACTATGGAAGTCAATGGCTACCGTTAACTGGTTGGTTACCCAAATTCTTCAAAATACCTTCTTTTGTGTTTAACATAAGAATGAAACTCATACAGGTTTGGAACAAGTGAAAGATGAGTAAAAAAATAACTCATATACTCATAATAACAAAAATAATAAGAATTTTTGGTTGAACTGTCCCTTTAACTTCACTTCACAAATTCTATGTCAGTGCTTCAAATGCTGCAAACAACTAGCACAAAAGTGGCTGGAAACTTGATTACTGTTACAAATTACCAACCTGGAAATAGTGCAGAATCTGAAATGTTTAATTCTGTGTCATAATGGTTCTTTGTTATAAATGTACAGGTTTAAATTAGATTTTGCAACCCAAATTTTCAGTGTGGTGACTTTTAGACCCTACTGTTACATCCTTGTGGGTTCTGCCTATTTACACTTAATGTATAAAATAAACCTATTCTAGTTAATGATTACTGAATGACATTTAGTCCATTTACAAACTTCCTGCTAAGAAGTTTTTGCTATTCTTCTGGGGACATTTGCAAAAATTTCATCTCCACACAGACCTGCAGACAGATTTTTTTGGGAGAACGTGTGTGTGTGTGCGTGAGAGGCGACATCAAGTGGCTCTTAATTTGGTTAGGTTTGTTTGAATTTACTGTGTGGTACTCTGGATTTAATTTCAGCGCTATCAGCTTTTCCTTTGTTTGCAGAGCTCTTATTTAATCTTACCTCTGTTTGCTGCCTTTGTTTCACCCACTTTTGTTTTTGCTGAGAACATTACTAAACACTAAACATTAGTTTTAAATTTTTTTTCTTCTCTTGTTTTGGTCAGGTGGAGATATTTTACGCCGTCCCAAATGCAATTATGTTTACGATTGCTCTGCCAAATGGTTGATAAATGGAAAACAAGCAAAAATCACATTAACTGTGAATGATTACTGGAGTATGATAGAGATGCTGAGCACAGACACTAAAAATCAGCGCTCTTGAGATCTGTTGTTAGAGCCTGGATTGTTTACAGCTGAGTCCATTTAGATGATTTAGAGCCTGATTTATTAAATGTTTGTCTGTCTAGAAACACATGCCGACTTGATAAAACATACAAAAAAATGTTGATCTATGTCTGAATGTTGTCTACTGAGGGTTGCTGCACTTGTCACAGATGCTGATGATAAAGCCAAATTTGTATTGAGCCCAGATTATTCCTTTAAAATACACACTGTTCAAACCTAAAAAGGCAGATATAATCAGAAATCATTGTTTTTGTTACAAATGTGTAACTTTTTCTCCTTTCCCACAGCTTTTGAGTCGAAAGGACAAGGCCACGTTTGAGAGGCTGGAGTATCTGATTTCTAAAGAAGACAACTATAAACGCTTGAGAGATTTCATCAGCAGCCAGAGCATGACATCCTGCATCCCGTATCTGGGTATTTTTTCTTTGCTCTCTTGTTTGCAGTTTTGCACACACACAAAACATAACCTTTTAGGGAGGCCTTTTTCCAATCTGCTATACATCCTCACACCACCACATGTCTTGCAGACATTTTAATCAATTTTGATTTTTTATTAAATTTTTTCTGGTTTAGATGTCCTCAAAGTTCTAGGGATGCCTTGTGGATGATTTGTACTAAACAGCAGACTTTCGAGCTTGTTTCATTGTTTGTGTTTATTATTTCTGTGTAAATTAGAGCTGTCAAAATTAGCACGTTGACACATGCAATTAATTATGAGTTTACATTTTCTCAACACCATTATTTGTTGACATTGTGCAAAGTGATTGACTAGCAGAGAAATCACTGGCTGCTCTCCTAAGGCTGTTACAAGGGCAGTTGCGATTTGTCATGAAACCTGTTTCAATCATATCTGACAGCTGTTAGCACCATTTTATATTGCACATTTCAAGAGAAAAGCGTAAGTGAGACAAGTAAACAGCGCAGTTGCATTAACTTTCTTTATACGCACATATATCTCACTATGCATTTTATCCCAATATTTATGTATTTGCAAATAATAATAGTGAATAAATAATGGTTTATATACAATATATTTTAAACAATCAAAATGCTGCCAGAACAATATAATATAATATAATATAAATTACCATGTTTTTGAAAGAATTCTCTTATGTTCATTAAAGCTGCATTTATTTGATCAAAAATACAGTAAAAACAGTGGTAAAACAACAAAAAACAAATTTGACATTTCTCGAAAATACCTTCTTATGAAGTCTGGAAAAGAAAGAATGTAATACAGGTTTGAAACAATGAGGGTGAGTAAATTATTACAGAATATTCATGTTTGGTTGAATTATCCATTTAACCGAATGCAATCTTGTTTATAGCTGAACTCTATACGAACAGAACCAAATGTATCACTCCAAACAGGACCGACCGTTTGGTGCTTTATGTATGTCATGTTTACATGCGTTTGCCCTGGTGTGTTTGGTACGGGGCTGGAGGACTCCCTGACTCTTTGGAAGGCAGAGAGGAAAGTACTGCTCTCTTGTACAACATGAGGTCTGAACTGCATTAAAGAACTGCCAGTCACTCACCTTGTAAATCTGTTCAAAGAAAAAAAAAAAAAAAGAGTAAAATGTATATGGAGGAATTTGAGCCAGAGAACTGGAGGATCTCTTGTGTTCTCAGATTTGGCCGTAATGCTGAAACAGTTTCTTTTGTCCTGCTGGATGTTCTTTTCACCCCCTCCCTTTGTCTGTCTATCTGTCCATCTGTCTTGCTTTTTATGGATTAAGTGTATTTTCCATAGATGATTGCAGAACCTGCCTTTCACCTGACAGCAGTATAATTTAGGGGAGAGCGGTATGACCAAAATCTTGTATTATAGTTGTTTTATGTTACAGTAGCCATATATATTTTGCAGTGTAGCTATTATTAACAACCCAGCAGTGTTGTATGTGTTATATTTCATAATCATTAAATAGTAATCCCCCCTTTTCAATAATCTAGTTTCTTCTTAAAGGGGCGGCAACAACAATACTACAGCGAGAATAAAAGATACGCCTTCTATTTTTGCGTGAACATTTGGGTGGTGTTATGCAAATCTTCTCACACAGTGACGTAGACATGTGGGGGCGTGTTTAAACGAGGCGTTTTAGGAGGGCGTGGACAAGTATTAACTTTTATAAAGAATATCTCTTTGGGTTTGAGACTTTAGTCTTTGCAACTTTAGGGATCTTATCTATGCACAAACAGCTTGTAACACTCCAAAGAGAAAGGAACATTTGAAAATGACCCCTTTAAATCCTACATAGGGTTTTGGGGATGTTGGAGCCTATCCTTGTTTTGTTTTGCTTAGTTTTGCTTTTTTTTTCGCTTTGTTTTGATTTGCTTTGTTTAGTTTTGCTTCGCTTCGCTTCACTTTGTTTTGCTTTGCTTTGCTTTGCTTTGTTTAGCTTTGCTTTTTTTAGTTTTGCTTTGCTTCACTTTGTTTTGCTTTGCTTCGCTTTGCTTAGTTTTGCTTTGCTTAGTTTAGTTTTGCTTTTCTTCAAGATGTTTTGCTTTGCTTCACTTTGTTTTGCTTTGCTTTTAATTTTGCTTTGCTTCACTTTCTTTTGCTTTGCTTTTAGTTTTGATTTGCTTCACTTTGCTTTTAGTTTTGCTTAGCTTTGTTATGCTTTGTTTTGGTTTACTTGGCTTAGTTTTGCTTTGCTTTTGCTTTGTTTTGTTGTGTTTTATCTTGTCTTGGTTTTGTTTGGTTTTTGATTTATTTTGTTTTTATTGTTTTATATTGTGTTGGGTTGTGTTTTGTTTTATTATGTCTTAGTTTCCTTTTGTTTTTGTTTTTTAATTTTTTTTATCTCATCTTTGTTTTCTTTTGTTTTGTTTGTGATGTTGTACAGTTGTTGTACAGAAAAGTATGCCAGGCTGTAGTAGTCTGCTGCATCTTTCACAACCTAGCACTCAGGCTGGCTTGCAAGATGTGCCATTGTCCCATGCAAATAATGTGCCTGATCTTCATAATTCTTTTAGTGAGTCTGGTGCTAAAACTACACAGACTATGCATATAAATGACCCTAACTCGTTGTTGGTGAATTCTCTCTTTGCTCTTTTTACTTCTGCTTTTACAATCAGAGACGGTGATTTGTGGTGTGTTATGAAAGCATTCAGGTGGGGGGTGGGCTCTGATCACATCCAGACGGCTTCATCACAGTCTGAATGTGAGAAAAACTGTCTGGAAGTCTATTGAGAGGAAGATGAGATAAAGGATTGGGTCAGCGTCCAAATGGTTTGTCTGTTTTGTAATAACAGGATTTCCCTACTGAAAACACTTAACACTAAAGCTTCCAGCTGGATGCACATAGGTGTGTGCGTGTGCGTGTGTGTATGTGTATGTGTGTGTGTGTGTGTGTTAGTACGTGTGTACTAGGGCTGGGTGATATGACGATATTATCGTATATCGACGATGTCTCATAAGTATCGCGATGTCGATGTCAGCAGTCAGGTAACAGACGATTATCGACATTATCGGGGGAAAAAAGACAAATGATGAACCTAGTAAGTTGCAAAAAATATTTTACATAGCACCATAGTCACCATACAGGTCTTTTTGCATGCAAGAATTAAATAATTTAGTAGGAGGGTTGGGAATCGAAAAGCTATTCCAATTTCGGAAATAAGATCAGATGCATAAGGTCAGGAATCAAATTACTTGTTATAAAATTACATTTCGATTTCTGTATGCACATTTATTGTGATTTCAAAAGATTCGACTGCAAGAAGACGAAATAGAACTCACTTCTGCACTCGCGTGCTGTTTTCCGCGCTGAGCACACACACACACACACACAAAGCGCACGCACAAAAGCCGCCTCTTATATAGCCTACGCGAACACTGGACTGAGCTCTCTTTCTCGCATTCTTACACATTCGAATGGACATATACACTCAGAATTATATCAAAATATCCCATAAATACAATCGGTTATGTCTTAAGTCAGGGGTCTCAAACTGCCGGCCCACGGGCCATTTACACCCGGCCCGCAACTGATGTCAAAAATAAAACATAATCCGGCCCGCTAAATTATTATTATTATTATTACTATTATTATTATTTTCTAGTTGTCTCGTACCATATTCCATATTCAAAAGAATGACATGATTCTATAAAAAAAAATAAAAACCGCGCATGCAGGCAGATTTTAAGGGTGTTTTCACACCTGTAGATCGATTGCTTTGTTCCGAAACGGGGATTAAA